AAACCCGTAAGACCTTCGTTCATCTTCGGAACACAAATTAAGATATTTTTGATGGAATCTGAGAGCTGTCTGATCCTGCATAGACAGCAATACAACTGAAATGTTCCCAAGTCCAGAAACGTAGCAAGGAGATCTGTAAAATAATCCATGTGACATCAGGGGTTCAACCGTAATTATACGAAGCTACGAGAATACTTTTTGTGCGTCACGCCAGATCTGTTTCCTATGTTGTTGTAATTTGATCTGAACGGAAACAATGTATCCGCGTGGCACAGCTGACACAGAACAGCATACACTGTTTACGTCCAGCAGATACTCTCCAAAATAGCACCAGGGTGACGCGGAGGAGACGAATTGTTGAATAAAGTCGTTTTTTTTTGTTTTCGTGAACTAACCCTTTAAGGGGTGGTAATATTATAATAAGATCCCCTTTCTACATCATGGGGGGAGCGAAATCTGGCGCGCTCGTTTTTTCACAAGCTTGCAGAGAAAGGCTTACCAACAAAAATTACTGGGTTGTTCTTTTTCACATTTTCTGGATTGATAAATTCACCGGGGATCAGATTATAGCGCTTAAACACAGAAAAAGTCAGATTTTCATGATATGTCTCCTTTCATTTCAGTCTCAAGCGGAGCACACAGAGTGTCAGATTAAACTGAAGTTTGAGAAGCTTCATCAGTTTCTCAGAGATGAAGAAGAAATTACAATCACTGCACTGAGGGAGGAAAAGGAGCGGAAGAATCAGATGATGCAGGAGAAGTTTGAGGAGATCAACAGACACATCTCAGCTCTTTCACACACAATCAGAGACTTGGAGAAGATGATGAATGCCAATGAAGTCTTGTTTCTAAAGGTCCCAGTTCAGATAATTGATTCATTAATTGATCACTGCAGGTATTGGTTACTTGAGGAGATAAATTGTCTGTTTATTTTCCAGAACTTTCCAGATGCGATGGAAAGGTGAGTGATCTGTTCGTGTCCTTCGTGTCTATGGTTCTGAACACGTCACAAAGCCACTGCAGTTCTGACTCCTGAATGTTCTTCCAGAGTCCAGAGCTTACGGTCGGATCCACAGCTGGCTTCTGGAGCTTTGATTAATGTGGCACATTACCTGGGCAACCTGCCATTCAGAGCCTGGAAGAAGATGCAAGACGTTGTCCAAAACAGTGAGTCTTTAGAAACGTGATTCTCAGCATTTTTGACTCCCAAGGCCATTGTCCAAGATAATATTATAAGACCCCCCTATGTGAGCTGCAAAAATGTTCAAAAGTTTGGGAATGGTAAGAATTTTTTAATGTCTCTTATGCTCAACTAGACTGCATTTATTTGATCAAAAAATACAGTAAAAACAGTGATATTGTGAAATATTATTACAATTTAAAATAACTGTTTTCTATTTGAATATATTGTAAACTGTTTTTTATTCCTGTGATGCAAAGCTGAATTTTCAGCATCATTACTCCAGTCTTCAGTGTCACATGATCCTTCAGAAATCAGTATAATATGCTGTTTTGCTGCTCAAGAAACAATTCTTATTATCAATATTGAAAACAGTTGTGCTGCGTAATACTGTTGTGGAATTGTCCTAATGATTCTTTGATAAATCGAAAGTTCAGCGTTTGAAAGCTTAAAATATAAATCTTTTGTAGTATTATAAAATGTCTTTACTGTCACTTTTAGTTAATTTCCTTGCTGAATAAAGTATTAATTTCTTTAAAAAAAACTTTTGAACAGTGGTGTAATTTGCTGTAATGAAAGCTGCTTGTTATCAAACCAATGTTTTTTATTTACAGACACAATGGAGTGGCAATATATTAAAAGTAAATAATTAAAATACTTAAATCTTAAAATCACAGACATTTTAATAGCTAAATGCATTTCTGGGTTCACGCTTTTTATAACCAAATTAATTTACATGACATTTCCAGTCTTTTGTGACACTGTGACAAGTTTTTTTTTTTTTTTCTTTAATTCACAAATAAATTCTACCTGATAAGATAGTTTAGATCTTGACAACTACAAAAATTCAGATTCATTACTGAAATTTCCATTAACTTTCCATGTCTGGAAATCACACTTATACAGTATGTAGATTTTCCAAGACCAGGGGAACAAATTAAAGCTGTCATTTTAAAAAGCTTTTTTTTTTTTTTGTCGTTTTAAAGCTTGCTTTTAAATTATTTTAAGCTCCCTTGGAAGTGTGTGCTGAGGCCCTCTAGTAGTGGATCCTGGTTAAGAAACACTGATTTAAAAGATCTGTTCTGTCACACATATAATATAAATGACAAATGAGTGAATATTTAATTTAACTACACCAAAATAAACAAAAGAAAAAAATCTTTGTTATACGTCATACTTACAATTGCAGTTATGTGGCAGATTAGTTTATTGTTTTTGTCACTGGATGCAAATATAACATTTCTCAAGCACATATTCACTATGACAACACTGACAGAAATCATCTGATAGTGTTTCATCAATAGAGCGAGTGTTAATAATTGATCACTATATGAGCATCAGAATAACAGCAGCTGTTGATTGTGTCTCATCAGCTCCTGTGATTCTGGATCCGAACACGGCTCATCCAGATCTCCTCTTGTCTGATGATCTGACCAGTCTGACATGCAGCGCCAACAGTCAAGCTCTTCCTGACAATCCAGAGAGATTCGAGCAGCACTCCTGTGCTCTGGGTTCAGAGGGGTTTAACTCAGGGACACACTGCTGGGATGTGGACGTCAAAGAGAGCTCGTCCTGGAGCCTTGGAATAACTACGGCATCAAACCAGAGGAAGGGATATGATTTCTTTGACAGTGGTGTGTGGAGTGTGCAGCACAGACTGTTTGAAGAGTCTGGTTTTCCTGTCGTACAAAAGCTGGAGCGGGTGAGAGTTCAGATGGACTATGACAGAGGAACAGTGTCCTTCTCTGATCCTGTAACGAACACACTTCTGTACACATTCACAACTACCTTCACTGAGACCGTCTTTCCATTCTTTTATAGCTTTTCTCATCTGAGGATCTTATAGTTGAAGTGTTTGTTAAAGTTATTTATGTAGATTTGGAGGAATTTTTCAGGGCATATTTCAAGAACCATTTTATTTTCTTAGTATGAAGAACATTTTAATAATCTAAAGAAGCTTTTTCCACTATAAAGGCCCTTTTGTGCAGTGGAAATTTTTTTTTTCACAGCTCAGCTGTGATTGGGCCGCTGCAGGTGATCACGTGACTGAAATCACAGCACAGCTGAACATCATATTGCTTCTTGTGCAGTAAACAAGAAGCTGAAGGTATTACTATGTTTTCTTATCAGAATAATCCTCTCTAATACAAAATACAAATGCCTAAAGTTCAAATAATAAGGGTGTCTTAAACTTTTCACTTTAAGAAAAGATCACAAACAATTGAACCTTCAAAAATTGTTGGCTACATACAGGACAAGCATGAAATATTTATGAGCTCGATAAGAAGGGCTTCAGTTCAATAAGTATACTATTGAAGTATACAAAAAGAGTTTTGTTAACTAGATAACAGTTTTTCACTGACTTTCTAGCAATGTGTGTTTTTGCTTATGCTGACATTTAAATAAAGGTCACATTTCTATCAGTTGTTATGTTTATTGAGCAGGCTTGTATACCGCCGCAAAGCTGAGACTTAAAAAAACTGATGGCATTTCCGGTAAGAGAACATTACAGTTTTTTTCGATTGCTAAAACACTATAACCAGGCTTTTGAACTAAAATTTCAAAACCATAACGCCATTTATCAAAAAGCACAACTCTAAACACTACTCCCCTGTTTTGACACATGAGTCAGATTTGTTGAGCTGTCACTGCAGAACTCCCTTAATTTCTTATTGCGTACACCATGTGGTCATTTTGAAAGCACTATCCTTCAATACTGTGGCAAGTTCAAGCTCAAACCGGTGTGCAACGTTTTGCTACGGTTTCCGGTTTGAATGACTAGCCAATTTGACGCCCTATTTGAACTTAGCTTTATTGCATGGCAAAAAAAAAGGATCAGGCGGGTTAATGTGTGAACAAAAAACAGGTTTTAATTTGGAAGCATGAAACACTGGATGAATTCTCCTGTATACCGGAGGAAGTTTGAGGCGAACTGCCACTGGACTAAGGATCTTAGTGACAGTGAATGGGCCAATAAATTTTGGAGCAAGCTTATTACAAACGGTGCGGAGGGGAATGTTCTGAGTAGAAAGCCACACTTTTTGACCAACGACGTATTCGGGAGGCTTAGACCGGTGGCGATCAGCTTGGGCCTTAGTGCGCGCCTGCACCCGGAGGAGAGCCGACCTGGCCTTTCTCCAGGTGTGGCGGCACCTCTGGACAAAGGCGTGAGCGGAGGGGCCCGCGACTTCGGTTTCCAGGTTCTGAAAAATAGGTGGCTGGTAACCTAGATTACCTTCAAACGGAGAGAGGCCCGTGGACGATACTGGTAATGAGTTATGCGCATACTCAACCCATGAGAGCTGCTGGCTCCAGGAGGACGGATTCTGAGACACTAAACATCGCAACACCCGTTCCAAAACTTGGTTGGCCCGCTCTGTCTGACCATTGCTCTGGGGATGAAACCCAGAAGAAAGACTCACACTCGCTCCTAGCAATCGACAAAACTCTTTCCAGAATTTGGAAACAAACTGGGGTCCTCTGTCAGAGACCACGTCCATCGGGAGGCCATGAATGCGAAAAACATGGTCAATGACAGTAACCGCTGTCTCCCTGGCAGAAGGAATCTTAGGCAGGGGAATAAAATGGGCCGCGTTTGAGAACCGGTCCACCACAGTAAGAATCACCATGTGAGACCAGATGGCTGTAATTACGAATGAAACGTCGGTAAAAATTGGCAAAGCCCAGAAACCTCTGCAGGGCCTTGCGGGAATCTGGGGTTGGCCAATTAACCACAGCCTGAATTTTGTCGGAATCCATGCGCACCCACTCGGACGACACAATAAACCCCAAAAACGGAACCGACTGTGCATGAAAAACGCATTTCTCCGCCTTGATAAAAAGCCCATTCTCAAGCAGCCTCTGAAGCACTCGCCTGACGTGCTGAAAATGTTCCTGGAGAGACGAAGAAAAAATCAATATGTCATCCAGGTAAACATATATGAACTGGTCAACCATGTCTCTCAGCACATCATTGACAAGTGCCTGGAAGACCGCGGGGGCGTTGGACAGCCCGAACGGCATAACCAAATATTCAAAATGCCCCCTGGGGATATTAAAAGTGGTCTTCCACTCATCTCCCTCCCTGATGCTGACCAAATGATAAGCGTTGCGAAGATCCAACTTCGTGAAAAAGGAAGCCCCCTGCAGCCTCTCGAAAGCCGAAGACATCAACGGCAAAGGATAAGTATTCTTTGCCGTGATGTTGTTCAACCCTCGATAGTCAATGCAAGGCCGCAGAGAACCATGCGGAGGAAGAGAAGCTGCTCGAGACTTACTGAACACTTCTTTCAGGTCTAGGTACTCCTCAGGCACGTTAAGCAGGTCCAATGGTTCCTCCTGTAACACAGAACAAGAAACAGAAGAACAAGCAGACAACAAACAAGACGCATGACAAAAATTACTCCAAGAGCAAACAGTGTTCTGTTCCCAATTAATATGAAGATTATGACGGGACAGCCAAGGATGTCCAAGGACCACGGGAACTAGAGGAGAGTCAATTAACAGGAGAGAGATCTCCTCAGTGTGATTACCAGAGGTGATGAGCTTGATGACAACAGTACTCCGGGTGAGTGATGGCATAACTTGACCTTGACCACCGAGAGCATGAACAGATATGGGACGCAGAAGCTTAACCACAGGAATGTCAAGCTGAAAGGCAAAAGAGGCGTCGATGAAATTTCCCTCCGCTCCCGAGTCCAACAAAGCCTGGCCGTTAAGGAATTTATTGGCCCATTGTAGTCTGAGCGGAAGGAGAATAGCAGAAGAGGATTTCTCCAGAGACACACCACCCGTCAATAACCTCTGGTCTATTGACGGGCTTGGGCTTTTACCGGGAAATTGGTAACAAAATGGCCAGCCGCTCCACAATAAAGACATAGTCCATTGCTTCTCCGGCGATCCTTCTCCTCCCTGGTCAGTCGGGTTCTGCCCACCTGCATGGGTTCCGGATCGAGAGCGGGACTGACCGTAACATGAGAAGAGTCTGCCAAAGGAAATGAAAACTGACGCGTTGACGCTGTGCATTGATCACGACGTTGCAGACGATTATCCACACGAATCGCCAGTTCAATCAAACCATCCAGACTAGTGGGCAAATCCAAAGCAAAAATCTCCCTTTGGATACGGTCAGCCAACCCATGCAGGAACTGGTCCCACTGTGCCTCCTCGTTCCATTTGCTCTCCGCCGCCAGAGTGCGGAAATCAATAGAATAGTCCGTAACCGAGCGGTTGCCTTGTTGTAAATCCGCCAACTCCCGGGCTGCCTCCCGACCCGAGACCGCTCGATCAAACACTCTTTAGTTCTTCGGTAAATGACTGGAACGTGGAGCAGCAAGGATGTTGATTTTCCCATACCGCTGTTCCCCACAGAGCAGCGCGTCCAGATAACAGGGTAATCATTAACGCCACTTTAGATGGCTCCGTAGGAAACGATCTGGGTTGAAGTGTGAATAACAAAGAGCATTTAGTCACAAACGCTCGACATTGCTGTGGCTTACCGGAATAGGAGGCGGGTGGGGGTAGACGAGGCTCGCCATGATGATCCACTCGCTCAGATGGATGGGGAACAGACGGTGGGACTGGCACAGTGGGTGCTCCGGCTGTATCCGTCTTGAGTTGCTGGAGCTGGGCAGTTACCTCGGACACCTGCGCCACCAAGGCTTGCACCGCACGACCCGTTGCCATGATCTGTTCCTCCTGTTGATCCAAACGAGCATTGTTACTGGTAAGAAATTCTCTCCATTCAAATCCACTTGCTGAATCCATCCTGGTCAAATTGTTATATCAGGATAATTCAGGAAAAGACTAGAGATTCAGTTGCAAGTGTTCAAAGTTTTATTTTCTGAAGACCAAACCAGTCACAGCATAAAAGACAACAGGAAAAGTGAGGGTGCAGAATTTTCCTCAGCAGCGCAGGGACTACAATGGGCAGATGACTGAGAACCGGACAACAGTCACAGGAACAACGGACTCCACAGAGAAAGCAAGAGTGCCTCACAGTAACAGGTGGTTCCACAATAGTCCGGCGGTCACTCCACAGGAAGCATCCACAACGCACTGAGTCGAGTGCAGCAAACGGGAGACAGGAGAACACTGAACAGAGAATGAGAGTGAGCAAACAACGATCCAACAGGGAATGAACAACAAACACTTCAATATAAAGGGTGCAGCTGATCATCACCAGCTGACCCTGATCGCTAATCAGCGATCATGAGTTGCCCAGCAACACATGTGACAGCAAAACACGCACACAGACACACACACAAAACAAAGGAGGAATCCATAGACCTGCAAACCGTGACAGTTATAGTGTGTTAGCAATTGACAAAAACTGTAACATCAAAACAAATTCACAAGAGCAAGTATATTGTTTGCACATGTTTATTTACATTAAAGGCAAAATAACTTAAATAATTAGAGTGCATGTATAGATCTGGAACTTCTTTAAAGGGGTCATATAATGCTACATGCACTTTTACAAGTTGTTTGAACTGAAATGTGTGTTGGCAGTGTGTGTACACAACCACCCTATAATGATAAAAATCCACCCAGTGTTTTTTTGTTAATCTACTAAAATCTTTACCCCTTTCTCAAATCGAGCCGAGCTCAGATGCCTGTCTGTGTGACGTCACAAAAACAGGCCCCTCCCACGATAGTTTGATTGACAGTAGCGTTTCAGCACAGACTGGACTGCCGTCTTACTCGGACCCGCCCTGAGTGAGCTGTCATCAGTCCGCCATTGTTTCACCGCCGGAGCAGATGTAGGCAAGAATGGCTCCTAATAAGCGACTGAGGTGTTCTGTTGTTGGTTGTAATAATGAACATAGCAGTCGTCATTTACTCCTGACATCTGAGCCGCTGAAGACGCAGTGGATTATGTTTGTTTTTGAAGGGAATGCGCCCCCGATCTACATAAATGCGTCTATGTTCGCACGAATCATTCGTGATCCAGCTTCACCAACAGAAGAAGTGTGTAAGGTTTTTTTTTACGAATCGTTGCAAATCGCCTTTCCTAATAATGTGCTAATTAGCAAGTTTCACGATGATTGCGGCTAAAGTAAACAGTCTCTCTGAGAGCAGCTGGGAAGAGAGGGGCGGGGTAAGCAGAGCTCATTAACATTTAAAGGAAAATGCTACAAAACTGCATGCTCTGAAAAGAG